TAAAATATATTTACAAAATTTAAAGAAATGTTAATTGTTTGGCAAAAAAAAAAAAGCAAAAAAAAAATTATTTTTAAATATTTTGGCAGGTATACGTTAATTCTGAATTTATATTTAATTTCTTTTTTGTCATTTAACTGGATAAATTATAGATAATTATTATTAATTAATTTAAATATTTAATTAAACGGAATACATTTGTTTAGGTTTTATTTGCTTTAACACTTCTAACAGTCAGTAAAATTTTATGTGTTTTAAACGAAAATCTAGTGTGTAGCTGTTTATATTGTAGCTGTATAAAAATAAAATACATTAATTACTATCAAAATATACATAAATGCTTAAAAAGAAATAAATGTGGACAAAAAATTCAAAAAATAAATTTCTTGGCGCATAATTATTGTTTAATCGGACAAGTAAAGTACAACTTGGATTTACCTTTTTTTAGTCGCGGTCTACACCACTTGTGGTATATTAATTTGGTGCGGATGTACGTAACAGTTAGAAGGACTCAAGATAGATTCGCTTATTATTATATCGATCGATTCAGCATTATTTTCGGAATCGATCTAAACTTGTCTGTCCGTTTGACATCTGCCGATGTAAATTGGCTAAGAACTCCATATAATTTTCCATGTGAGATTTCTCGTAAATACTAAGAGCCCTTCAGAAAAAGGTTCAATTTTTAATATTTTACAATGAAAACTGTGCAAGTGATATGCCAAAAGAATTAATGGTAAGCAATTTGGATCGTATCGATCTACTATTTCGACATTAACGTATGTAAGAATTATCACGAAAAGAGAGAGAGGGTGAGAGTTATCATGAATGAAGTGGACGTCCAATTACTAGTTTTTTCTGATGGAAATTAAAAAATAATACATTTTTTGGTAAGTAAATGAAGTTTTTTAAATTTGAATCTTGCCATGTGATATTTAAGGCACTCTCCACTGTGCGGGATTTCATGAAAAGTATGCCTTTGCATGCAAATAATACGTAACTTTTGCTGTATTATTAGCAAAACGGGTGAAGGCGAAGTGATGTAAGATATCTACCGGCCGGCCTTGCCTGACTATAATGTTGTTACCTGTTTCAATACACGGAAGGAAGCTTGTGAGATTCGTAGAGAATTTCGCGTAATATGCATACACCTTTCTATGCAATGTTTGCGATAAGCACGCGTAGTGTGTAACACTACATAACCGAGAATATCTCGATTTTCAAAAGTAAAAAACAAAAAAAATGATGTTTTCACTTATTATCCAAATAAATAAATTGTAACATATGCAACGATAAGACTTTATACGTATAATATATGGATCGTCCCACAGTCAATTTCTCCAGCCTGGACCATATTGTTGTTATCGTTACGTTGGATAACGTTGGTTTGACCAAAGCCGAATGTAATTTTCTTGTTTGCTAAATTTATACAAAATTCCAAAATATGACACAACTATGTTTAGCTGATAGCCACTTTGCTGTTAAAGGTTGGGTTGACCTTGCCATAGTGGACGGAAATCTGCTACTTAAAATCCATAGATAATTTTCATATAAAACTTGGTATAAGCGCTTTCGAAAGCGCTTTCGTTCACTGAAAGAATTGAACGAAAATATTTTATAGTTTTCAGTGCTTACCTTCGAAGGTAATTCATATTCACCTAACTTGTAACATGTTCAGTTACCGTAACATACACATATAACTATGCATTCTTGATCAATATGAAACTGAGGGATGATTGAACTAAGTTGTTAGTTGGCATCTAAGTTGTTAGTTGAGATTCACAGGTGAAGATTGAACTCGCGTTTTAAGCATGTGGGTAATGGGCTTACAATTAGGTGCCGGGTGTTTGAGTGAAGCTTACTTGGCTATAAACTATTTCAGCTATAGTTCGCTAAGTGTCGCTAATATCTTTCAGGTAAACCGAAGCCATAATAATTGCGCCCACACGATATGATTTCTATTCTTTACCACGCATTAAAATGTTTTGGTGAAGATATATTGAGCTTGTTAGTGCGGTCACAAATCTTGATTTTAAACTCAACTCACACTTGACCAGAGAAGGACATGTAAATTACACAGTTGTGTGTATTCACAACATTTTAAGAAAACTATGGCTCTGCTTATTTCACGTTCCCATCTTCATCAAATTGAGATTAATTAAATGTCTTGTTGTGCCGCTTATATCGTACGGAGCATGTGTATATGATAAATTAGATTACGCTTCCAGCCAAATATTGCAGTTCGCCGTCAATAATTGACCTAGGTATGCAGTGTGTGTGTGTATTGCAGTACTCGCTACCGATTTTGGGTTCTGAACTTTCGACATACCTTAAAATGAGATATCTGCGTCTTCTGCACAAGCTTATACGAACCCGAATACCAAGATATTTACCTAAGAAAATGAAGATAAATTTCACCCTACCTGCCTGAAAATACTTGATATCATCAAGGCCGTAAAGTTGTTGAACTCGCTACCACTTCATATCAAAATTATTCTTTTAATTCTTGTAGTCTTAAACTGTCTAAGAAAGCGTTACATAATTGTGATAAATTCTGATCACATTTAAATCATGGCCTTATGTCTTATATTGTACGATATTTTATACTACGTTATTTACATCTTTATCGTGCCGCAAGCAGACTTATAGGCAATCAATTATTATGGTAATGATGGTTATGTGTAATGAACTTACCTTTAATAATTATTACTTATCTTTGATCCTTATCCTACATTACATCTTATAATTGACAGCAAAAAATTCTATTACTTTCACATAAGGTATAGAGAAATAAATAGAGCGAACAGATTGTCTAACGGGGAAATCTATTGGGTTAACGGGGAAAAATGATTCTAATATTTCGTTTTATTCCGTTAAGCGACGCTGAATTTTAATACAGTGTCTCTTGGTAAATGACGTTATATTCTAATTTCGTTATTTCTAATTCTCTTTTGCGAGGTAACCTCAGATTCGAATGCGACTCTGCTGCTGATAGGTGACGATTCCAATATAGACTATTTTATTAGATAATGGTGAATCTGAAAGAGGTCAACTCCGCTAGGTAACTCTAGTACGGTTGATTGTGAACAGTGGATTTTAGCATGGTCCACTGTGCTAAGCGAAAGTGGTAATGTTCTAGTCTGACAGTTTTAATACGATCTGTTACGCTAGATGATGCTAGACGGTGATAGGTAACTTTTCTGACAGATAACGGCGGCTTCTAATGCCGTTCATTATGAAGTTCACTTATCTTGGCTAAGAAGTACCAACGCATTTAGCGTATAATCTGGACTTTGGCTTCGCTCTCTGTGTAGAGTTGCGTTAATTGTGTGGAGCTGACTACGAGAGAGGCCTGCGAAAACCGTTCGATTTTTCGTGAATGAATCTCAGAAGGCAACCGACCAAACGGTGCTTTCAAATAATCTATCTGTGGTGGTTGATTTTTTTTTCATCTCTATGTAAATGAAAAATGAAATTTTTCTACCGCCCAGTTTAGATCACACCAACTGCTCCTTTTTTTTTTTTGTTTTTTTTTTTTTTTAATTTAGTTTTTTAAATCGCGTTCAGTGCACTAAAATGCGTCATTGTGAAGGAAGTAAATTGAAAGTAAAAATTCATGCGCCGTAATTGCCTTAAAAGTAATAATAACAGATGGCTCTACCCTACATATCAGATAATTGTGCTTAGTAACCGAAACGGATTATTTCATAATATTTTACTTCATTTTTTTATATATATTTTGGATTGAGATATATTTCATCTTTTTTTTTTTCGTTTGGTTGAAAGCATCCGTCTATACTTCACGACAATATCGAAAGATTGAAAATTTTGCAAAACTATTTACTTAGTGTTCATCTGAAATTCAAAGAAAGGCAACAAAATGGCGCAGAATATGTGCGAAATTAAAACTGTTATGGATCCAAAAGCAAAACTGAAAAAGCCAAAAATACGAATCGATTCAGAGGATAGTGCTGAGAAAACTGGTAAGTATTCGTGGCAAATTTAGACCATCGTCTACTAATACGCAAAGGTCTCTTCTAAAAAAAAAAATAAATAAAAAAAAATAAAAAATAATGCAACAGGTATGTCGGCTGAACGTACAGTACAAATGAATAGTGTTCTAACTATATTAAGCGACTCGATCGAGAAATTAAAGATATCCTTAATACTGCCCCGACTACTTGAGAGGCCGTGCATATTAAGAAAAGTATTGGATAACACAAAGTACTCGCATTGTTTGAAATTAATCGAGGATTATATAAATGAGAGGGTAAGATAAACGTAATACATATATACATATATGCACGCAAATGGATTAATTTATTCCTTAACAAAAACTTGAAGCAAGACAGCAAGGACGAAACTTCAAGCTATCTTGACTATCGTTTAATAAAAATCATCGATTTTTTTCACATAAACACAAATATTTTGGAGTTATTACCCGGCTGGATGGATGAGCTGGACGACAACGATGTCTCATTGCTGAAAGCTTTCAAGTTGCTGCGTTGGATAACTGAACAACGTCTCAATAAGTCGGCTGTAGAGGAATTAAAGAAGGAAAAAAAGATTCATGAGATTTTTCACGAGAATGAAAAATTTAAAAAGAACATCGAAGGTATTTATTACTTAACTTTCGCAAATTTGCGCAAATTTAATTAATTCGAATTTTTTTTTTTTTTTTTTTGCGAACAGAGTTTAAACATCAACTCAAAAGTCAAAGAATCAATTTACGCTGGAAGTTGGCAGCCAAAGAGAGTGTCATTAAATCGCACGAACAAAATATGGCCTTGAAAAAAGCCCTTAACGATCAACGTATTAAAGAAGAAATGTAAGCTAAAAACAAGCAAGAATATTATAATTGGGCGAGGCCGAACTTTCATCATCCTACACCACATAGTCTAACACCATTCTTAATTTTATATAGAATCACTATTGTGTACCATCATTATCACATATTAAAACTTCTTCTTTTTCTGTCCTACAAAAGCTCAATTTTCGTGGAAATTCTGATTAGGTTCCAAAAAATAGGCTCAGATTTTGCTACAGTTAACTTTTTATCTTGAAGCATTGAAGATGAAGATCTCTTTGTCAGAGGAGCTTCAAGGTTTGTTACATGAATGGAGTTTTAAAAAAATTACCCCAGCCGGTCCAAGGTTTTCACACCCATCTAGAATGCCGAAATATTACTACTTAGCTACTTTTCTCAAGAGATTTTGAAAATTGTAATTTTCTATATAACGAGTTTTTAAAATATGGCATTATATGAGAAGTGATCGAAAAAGTCGATCGATGCGTCACTGTACCACTGTCTGTACCAAAATCTGTAGATTGAACACAAATTTAAGTGAACAGACATCACACGGATAGATGGACAGTCAGACTTAGGGCAATTCAGATTATGATTCTGAATCGATCAGTATGCTAAGAGGCTGGTCTACCTTGACCTCTTCTGCTTGTTGCACACGTCCGCACTAACTTAATATACCCTGTACCACAAATGGTGTAGGTTATAAATATATAATTAGTTCGTATAAGAAAACATGAACCGTTACTTACAGGGCAAAGACAAGCCGCAGTGTGCGTCATATTTACACAGCTAGCGTTGCTAGACGTCGCGAATTGGAAGAGGAGCTGCGAATGACAAAAGTCAACTATGAAAAGCTTGTTAACGATAATATAAGACAAGAGAAAAATGCCAGAGCTGAAAAGTAAGTTGATTCACCAATGCTTTAAATCGTTCTTTTTAGGCAATCGGAAAATAATTTCCATGAAACTGATGATCAATATATGGAAAAGTATCGTCCTAATCTCTTTTTAAATATAATATCAATGGTTTCCAACTTCTAAAACTTGAGACCCTTTAAAGATTGCTATGCTATTGCATAACAAGAGGGGTTCTTCGAGAGGTTTGAATGTTTGAAAGACTAGTGAAAGTCGAAGTATAGTTGTCTGTGACTAATTGAAAGATGGATCTCAAGATGCGCTGTATTTCCAATCGTATATCTTAACAATGGTTTCGCATACTTGTTACATTTTCATTGAAAGCAACATAGTAAAAGATCAATAACTAAAGTAATTACATAGATTATATATCCACCACATATGGCTTTAATAGATCTCTCTTCCGTTTCAAAAAAAAAAAAAAAGAGTTGATATTGAATTATATTACTTGAGGCTATGGTGGAGGAATTTTTCCAGAATTATTTTGTGGCAACTGGAAGTGTAGCTCTTTCTTAATTTGGCACCGGAATGGCAACCTTTTCATGCATAGTCCCATTACCCAGCAGTGATTATAAAATTTATGGAGATAGTGAGTATATGCGGATCGGTAAATGTCAATCGTCTTTCCTTAGGCTTCTAGATCCATCAAGCACTAAGAACCTTTAATTTTTATTTAAAAAAATTATTAAATATTTATAAACTTGCTTTTCATGAGAGCTCATAAAGAGGGTGAGGGCTAAAGAATAGGCCTACGTAATTCAAATTCCACATGGTTAAAATTTTCTGCTGTACTGCTATAGCGTACCAGTTTTCATCATAAAATATTAAAAATTAAATCTTTTTGCCAAAGGACTTACTATTCGTAGGAATCTCATATGGAATGGCGTCCAAAAAATTGATCTGTATGGTTCAAATTTTATCCAATTAATTTTTATGTCAAATTACTCTTATGGACAAATGTTCATCGTAAAATATTAAAAATAGGCCCTTTTTGGTATACGGGTCGGCTTAACATGTCGTGGCTAACCTTGATTGCGATGGTGTCCAAAAAATAGAGCGACTTGATCCACACTTGATATAGCTAAGTTTTATATCAAAATACTTTTATAAACCAATTGTCATCACAAGTTATCACTTTTGCCTTACAAAAGCTTTTATAAAGTGGGATCCAAAAAATAGTTGAACGTGGTCCAAATAAGGTTAATTTCTATGTTGAGTTATTGCTATGGAGTAATTTTCACCACCACCATGCAATCTTGAAAACTATACTTTTTATCATATAAAGATTCAGTTCTTGTAGTTATATGGCAGCGGGATCAAAAAATTATCCGATCTAAATTTTTCATACCAACTTAGAACGCCTAATTGCTATTACTCAAGCACTTTTGCATTGAAATTCTGAAAATAAAAATATTTTTTCATGTAACGATGTTCCAACGTTATATGGGTTGACAGACAGATTGACGAAAACATAAACTTGAAAATCATTCAGAAAGTGATTGTGAATCGATCGATACAATACATATAACCAAGCAAAAACAAGGAAAAATATTATAGTAGGTCATGCCGCGTCATTATAAACCCTTACACCAATTCGCTTAATACATTTATTCATACAATTACCTTTCAAAATAAGGCATTTTATGCGAAGTAGTCGAAAATGTGGTCCTTAGCCAATACACTTGTGCAAACGAAATTTCATCAAAACATTTGAAAACTTGCAGGCAGGTTGTGCGTAGGTTGAACACAAGAAAACAAGACGGACGGACGGGCGGACGGACGGACGGACACGCTCAGACAAAGTATAATAGAGGTAGATCTATAACTCAAGTCATTCTGTATGTTGCATATATCCGCACAAGTTTGATGGTTCCTCTACCACCAGGTGGCATTGGATATAAACATACTGGTGAGTTTGCAGTCAGTCATGATGTCGGCATCAATCCTCTTCGTTTTTATAACGAATCCTACTGCTATGAGTCCCATATTATCACAGTCACAGGCAGAAAACCCTTAGCTTGAAAGTTCACTTCAGCCTTTGATTTCTGGTAACCTCAATCTCCTATCTGGCAGCTAGTCTGCGTTGTGCGACCGGCTCACATTGACACTTCCGGAGATTACGCGATTTTTTCACAAAACACATGACATGTTGCATCATTTTGTAGAAGCCACATATCGGTCAAGTTGAACTCATTTAACTTTTGCCACATAAAATCAGTTACCATGTTTTTCCAACCTTTTCCACTGATGGTAACTGCAATGCCATTTTCATGTTCAAAATTGACTCTTTTGATCTTCAGTCCAAAAGTTACGCTACCCAGTATTTCTTGAATATATGTAAAAGTCCTTTGGGAACACTAAATGTGTTTTTGCTTCGTGAAAGGGGAACAATCTTTGTTCACGAAGTCATTATCAGTATCACGAAGTTGAGCTTGGGCCCCAAGGTTTTCAAAAAAGAGGTTTAATTTGTAATATTTTATTAGAAAAGCTTTATCCCACATGCTCGAAACGTAGCTGACTTTTAACAATTTCTGTACGCTGCGCAACTATGTATGTTAGGCAGATAATGGGAAACTCCTCCAAGCGATATATTGGAAAATGGAGGAACGTGTTTTATTTAAGTTCACTTTCCATGAACCATGAAATTAATGACCCAATATAACAATTTAATTTAATTGTGGTCGTCCAAAAGTGCGATGCCATTACAATTTTCTGCATTTCTAGTATAAAGCAATGCGTAGGTTTTCTTAACGCTTTCGCAAGTTTTCAAAGACCCTTTATTCCTGACACTTAAGGCCTACATGTCTATACTTTTTTATCAATAATTGCTTTGTAACCGATATCGGCTTGATATTTAACAGGTAAGAGAGTTATCTTCGGCTGGGCCTGAATCTTGAAGACAGATCACCATTAAATCCTTTAGCCTCATAAAAAAATGAATGGAATAAAATTCATCTTCGACTTTTAAAGAAAAAATGTATCCACCATGTCCTGAATTATTTCGGACTAATCATACTTACCTCGTAGCATTCTACTTTTCAAGCCCTTTTATTTTATATCCATATCGCTGGTATTATTAAGAAAAAAATAATCGCGATGCCTATCACATTCTTTTCCGGCTTAACCCATCTTTCGGCAGACAATGTATCTTCATTTGAGAAATATACAAAACAGTTTTAAACATTCTATCTTGCTTACCTTATGATCGATAGTAAGGGTAAAATCTCAAAAAAGTAAGAAAAAAAATAATATGTAACCGCTTGGAACTTTGTGTGGACCTGACCGATTTTTTCCATTTTTGCAACTAAATAGTAGAATTTTTCGTAAAGTACATGTGGAAAATTTCGGATTTCGATTTTTCATAATTTGTAAGCAATACGCAAAAGCCCAAATATGTTTGGTTAGAAAAACGGAGTTACGTTCATATATATATATATGTTATATTTTACTGTGGGCGTGTCCTCTTATAACTTTGGGATGCTAACCTGCATCGATTTGTCTTTTTCTCAAAAGCAAACGGTTTTTTTTGTAAATTGGAAACCGATATTTTCATTTTCTCTCATCAGACAAACACTTACGACGAAAATCACACATACAGACATGCATGGTCTATTCAAAAATTTGATTACGATCAAGAATATTTTGAGAAAATGAATACACATACCCTCAACCCATCCTTCTGCGATGGATATAAAAACTATTTTATTAAATATGGGCGTGTCAAAAAATACCCTATTCGCTGACCTTGGAAATATGTGGATCAAGTCTTATAGATACATATATGTATGTCTATGAGTAAACAGGTTAAAGTTAATATATATTGTAGACATGAGGCTAATTTTTTAATTGCACTTTTAAACACTCTTCTCAAATGTATTTGCACAGTTCCCCACAGCCCAAAGGTCAAACTCAAACTAACCATCTTAAGGTATTTAACGATAAAAGACAAGAGTCCCTGATGTACATATTTTGGTATAAAAAACAGAAGAGAACAAAACGCAAATCCTAAGCATTCGTATTCCTTGGTAGTGGGTATGAAGCTGTTGGAGGCGAACAGCTTATAACCTACCTTCCGAAGACAATGACGGCTTTCTTGCTTAGTTTTTTGAATGCATTATTACTATGACCTCAGTTTGATAAGTTTCGTGTACATATTACCTACAAAGAAGTAAACAACACCCAACACCACTTTTGATATAGGGTCTATTAAGGGTGTGCGGATATATGTAACATTCAGAATGACTTGTGATGTAGGCCCATCTTTGTTGTACTTTATCTAAGGGTATCCGTCCATTTGTCCCCCTTGTTTTCTTATGTTCAACTTATAGGGTCGAATTTTTGATTTTATTTTAGTGATATGTAGTATATTCAGGCATTCTGGCTTAACTATATGTTATACACATTAAAACATTGATTCGAATATTTATAGAACCTTTTCGATTATTCTATAATTCAAGTGATCAAAAATATCGTCAAGTGAACGCGTAAGCGAACAGCAATAACAAATTGAAGTAATTCGTTTCAAGTTGCCTGTGCAACTGAGGCAACCGAGACGGATCGCCTCTACGAAAACAAAACCTTTAGGCTAACTGAACTTAAGAAATGTTTTCTGTAATCAAAGTAAAACCAATAAAATTGATGCAAAATGTATTTGTTTTCTTTGCAGAAATAAGTTGTTGCTACAACTTGAGGCATTAATCAAGAAATTTGATCAATCTATCGGTGATAAAATGCGTGAGAAAATCGTTTTGGAGGAGGAATATGCTAAACAGAAAAAAATATTTGATGAATTCATGATCATTTTTCGTGAAAAGGAAGCCGAATATGAGGTTGCTGTCGTTCAAAAGGAGCAGGAGGAGCGGGAACAACAGGAGAAAAAACTCGCATTCTTCATAATGAATCGTGCCGCGCGTATTATACAGCGTTTTTATCGTAAATATCGCAAAGCGAAGAAACGTCTGGAAAAACAATTACAAAAGAGGGGAAAGGGTGCTGCTAGGCGAAAGGGAAAGAAATAAAAAAGAATGAAAAAGTAAAAGAAAAAAAAAAACATTTTAGTTTACTACGGATTGGTCCTGCAATGAGAAATAGAATTTACTTTGCCAAGTTACTTGCAACGACAAAGGAAAATCTACTCTTCAATGATTTCATATTGAAAACTACTTGCCCGTTTTTTTTTTTTTTGAAATTTTCACATTATCATTGAAGAAATTGTCAAATGGATTTTTGTTTAGTTTTCAGTTTGTGAGGAAAATTGTAGTTTTCGTTCTGCATGTTTGTAAAAAACAATAAAATATAATTCTCGCAATCAAACCAAAAAAAAGTAAAATATTTTTTTTGTTCGCCTTTTTTTGATTTTGAGACCCAAAAATGTCTGTTTTGCATTCTAATTTCAAAAATCGTTTCGCATTTTGATTGTGTGGACCTAAAATATATAATATCTCAATATTGTTGGTTTGCCTTTTTTTTTTTTTTTGAATCGTATCGAATTTTGAAAAATATAACATTTTAAACATTTGTGCGTGCGGTCGTGTGGCTGAAGTAATATTTGATGTATTTTTGTTGAAAAAAATAGCAAAACAATTTCAAATTGCAGCGAGAATCGCGACGTTTCCCTTTCGACCAGTAGCTGTGTGTGTTTGTGCGCGTGTGCGTGTCTATTCACAACAGCTAAAAACAAAAAACAAAAAAAATAACCTAAAAATCCAATATTGAATGTGAATTATAAATTCTATGAATTATTTCGTTATATGGATTGCTTGAAAATATCAAAAATATAAAAATATAAAAAAAAAAAAATTCTTAAGCCTTTTTGTCAAATTCATCCGGAAAAGGTCTATTTAGTACTTCGTTGCATATTTCGGCGATTGCAAGTACTCGGCATATATAATATCATCCGGAACGTATCTATGAGTTTTACACCAAATATCTTCCGTTTGTAGAAGGTAAGTATGTCCTCTTTTTTTTTTCTCTACATCTGAGGGGAAAATATGATGGCAAAAATGACTAGACGCTTTTAACCAGCTACGTCTTTAAACGAGTAACTATTTGTCGCATGTTGAAAAAGAATTTTCTTTTTCCTTCCAAGTGAATTGTAAAGGTAGAGGTACGCGGACGCTTGGATTCTCATTTGCGTGGTATTTCTTGCCCTTATGTCGGACTTCCGCGTTTGTTACGTCAACCAAAATTTCAAGGTGTACATAAAAAGTATAATTCTGTTGCCTACCTTAGGGATTCGATTAGTTAATGATAAAAATTCGCTGACCACCACTGTTATATTAATTTTTTCTACGTCTTGTAGAGAAAACATTTCAAAAAATTGACAAAATTTTTCTTCATTAATTACTGTAAAATCAAGAAACCAAAATTTACCTATGCGTGAGTTAGAAGAAAAGAGAATTTTCTATAATCTCAATATTCTCATTTCGTAAAATTCAATTTTTATTAGTTCGCCATTTTGTCATAATTTCATTACAAATTCAATTAAAAAAAAAATATGAATAAGAAGATATTTTTAATTTTTATGTAAAAAAATTTTAAAAAAGTCAGCAGTAAATAAATAACCTATTAAGAATAGGTTATAACCTATTAAGAAATATTCTATTCTTAATAGGTTATTTTTTTATATGAAACATAAAAATTTAAAAATTCCAAATTACTGAATTTGCTAACGCATAAAACAAAATTCAATTGTGGGCGTAAAATTGACTTTGCTTTGCTTTACTTACGCAGTGATTAAAATAACGCTGGTAGAATTGTTGCATTTATTGTAAAACATAAAATTATTTTGTAAAGGTAATACTGCAACTTCTTTGCACAGCAATTAAAGGGAGATGATGAATAATAGTCGCTATTGTTATTTCACTTTTTCTCTTGTGAAATTGCAAATATTTTAAAGCTGCAGCTTTCATTCGAGCTGAGTTTGTGAGAGCAAAATTTCATTTGCTGCGCGTGGTGTGCGTTCTAATGGAGGTCTTTTTAGAGAGTAAGATTTTATTTGCTGTGTGTTCTTACTGATATCTTTTTATTGTTTTCGTTTTTTGAGAGCAAGATTTGCTTGGCTTTGTATTCTTATTCTCTTTTTTGAGAGTTAAGGTTTTATTGAGAGTAAAATTTTGCTTTGCTGGCGACTTTTTCCATTTCCCATTTATTTTAGTGCTTTTTTGAATTTTGAGCGAGAAGGAAGTCCGTGATTTGAGTACACGGCATCACATTTATTTTGTGAATTAAAAAAAAAAAAATATATATAAAAAAAACCAAAAAAAAATTAAAAAAATATAAAAAAACAACAAAAAAATTGTAAAAAGTAGCAAAAATCGAGCGAGTGTTAAAAAATGTAAGTCTATACATATATTTAATATTAATGTTCATTTGGCTTGGTTAGGGAAGCTAGGAAAAATTTTCCTTTTTAATGAGATCAAGAAAAAATGTGAAAACGTGGTACGGCGTGATTAGCAGCAAACGAGTAAATGAATAGGTATAATGGAATGTAAATGTGGTTGAAAGGGAAAAAGAATTTTTGCAAACGGACATATTTTTGATGACGAATTATCTTGCAGTTAATGGGTGTTTTCGAAAGAAATTGATAATTTCGTAGCTCGAAAAAGTATAGAATATCGCTCTTTAAGATTGTAATTAAGCATGAACCATGTGCACATTATGAAAATGTAATGTCTTCGTAGGAAATGTTTAATTTGAGACACCATTTTTTTTTTGCTACGAGATAACGTTCATTTTTGTAGTGGAGTTGCCAGATCTATTTTTTTCTTGTTTAGCACATTGTCTTTCAATTTTTTGCTCTCTTTAATTATAATTCGTATTTTCTCTTTTGTTTCTTTACAGTTTCTTTTAAGTTTTTCCTTTGTGTAGAGATTTTTCAATCAATTTCTTAAAAGAAAGCAAGGAGAAATACACAAATCTTTTGCTTGATTTGCTTTTGCTCTCTGTCCATAAATTTAATCGCCACTTCAACATCGAGACCATGAATTCCGGTGGACCTAATTATCAAATGGCCTCACTTTATGTGGGCGATCTTCATCAAGATATCAATGAAGCTGGTTTATTTGAAAAATTCTCCAATGCTGGCCCTGTACTGTCTATTCGAGTCTGCCGAGATGTTATTACGCGTCGTTCACTGGGATATGCTTATGTTAATTTTCAACAACCGGCCGATGGTAAGTACGAATATAAATAACTGGAAATTTCTTAATCGAATCTTAATTTAATATTGTTCTTCTTGCCTGTGTGCATACATTCGATATACAAACATTCTTGTTAGTACTTTTCTTTTGTTACGCGCTGTAGCTTATGATTCATTTCCGTAAAAGTAGTAAGGGGTATATGCCTGCGTGTTTGCGTGTGTATGTGTGTGTGTTAGTCATCACTGCAAAAGTGACATTGTTGAATATAAAGCTGTGCTTTATACTTGTTGTTTAATTATACAAAACCTCCCGTTCTGCGAGCAGAATATGATATTTTTGATAATTTTTTTTTCTTACTCCAAGTGAAGTAATACAATATTTGCTGCTATTAATTAGTTTAGTCGGTGATTAGAAATCTGTTTTTGCAAATTTTCGAGTATAAAAAGTCAGAAAAGAGCGAACAACACTGCGGTTCCTATGCTTCATTTCTAATTTTATGGAGAACCAATACATTTTTATATATATATACACGTACACGTAGTCAATCTTTAAACTTGGAAACATATGATGATCAATTAGGAACGTTTTCATTTCGATTTCTGTTCCCCTAAATTTGTACTAATAAATTTAAGAAATTTCTGAAAAGTATTTATATAGGATTTTAGTAGTTCAAATGAAATAATACATTGCAACAACACTCATTTACATTATTGAAAAAAGCCTGCATGTTTCTAAGCACCTTTTTAATCTTTAAAAGTTCATGTCGATGTAGGATTACTTACTAGCTTCGCTTCACTGTTAAGTTATTTGTAATATATATATGGGCGTATACAGCTTGGACACCAATTTGTTTGTATAATTTCAATGGATTGTGGAAGGTTCTTTCTATGATTCAGTTACTTTTCCTTTATTCTTTAAATGTATCGATGTTCATTATTAATCAAAAGAAATAATATTTTTGTAAAGGATCGATGACAACAAGAGAAGAGAAATTGTCAAACAAAATTCATAATAAGTAGCAACCAAGCAAAGTAATTCCGTTGAAGGGCATAATTTAACAGAACAATTAGAAAAGGACGCACAGTGTGACAGTGTGGAAATTGGGATGTAAGAAAAAGTTTTCGTGGGCAAGCAAAATAGTGTTAAGCGGTGTCAGAATTTCGTTTTTTACCTAACATTAAAAATATGAAATGTTTCAGACCTTATATTATATACATAACTGGAAATATAGGTATGCTACTTTTTTAGAAACTGCAAGATGAAAAAGAGATCACCTTCCTTGTTTACGAGAACTGCAACTGAAAGTTTCTTCTATGCAGCGGACGGGCATATATATGAAAATACGAATGGCTTTCCGAGTTGCCCTCATTGTCGCTTGTTTTTCGTTAGAAATTGCTTGCATTAAATTTTCGCGTTTCGTCATATGTCATATATATATTTGTCACGTTTTATATATCTCTGCGGTTCACGAACACGTTGACTTACATATGCGCATCTAGTCGTGTGTGCATGTACGTTTCACTCTAATTATTAATAAGAATGTGGTTAGCTTGGAGTTGGACACAGATACAAAGAAAATTGACTTTCAAAACATAGGTCTAGTGTGGATTGGAACATGTGAAATATTTTATTTTAATCTGCATTTAAAATGGAACCCAATTTTATTCAACAAAAAGTTAAACAATATATTTTTCATTTCAAAAACTATGTAAACAAGGCAACTAACACCCATTGGTTGATTAAACTGTTCGCTTACTTTAATCGCCTAAGATTAATGGTTGCTAGAAAATAACTCCTAAGGCTTAACTTACCGTGTTGCTTTGATGTATTAAAAAAGTAACAGAAGTAGAAAAGTCACAAGGCTTTCAAGAATTTTGGGGTCGTGATTCCTTCTGAAAACGCCGCCCGCTCACTATGATTAAGTTTTCTTATACTTTATCTTTTTTTACTTTAAAAACCACTTAATTCTGTTTGTTAAATGTTCATATTGTTAACCGGCACGGGTTAAGGTTTTAACAAATGGAAACAACATTTTACACGCACAGTGGTCGGTCTTTCTGTTGTCACTTTTGTTATTTTCAGCGTTTCAGAAGAGCTTGCTAGAGTTTTTCAAAACAATATTTTTAATATTCTCTCAGAAGACTGTTACTGTTCTTTTAAAAGACAGTTCTCTTACTGTTATCGTAAGAGGAGAGTCGTTATTAGTATTAAAAATGCTTCCCGTTGCTGTTTTCTTAAACCGGCTAACGTTTTAAAAACTCCTCTCTTCAATCTTAGAAATTTTAAAGCAACTTCAAACCCATTGGTTGGTTAAATCGTTTATTTGCCTTAACCAGCTAAGATTAATTGTTGCTAGAGTATTATACTTGACTTACCGTGTTGCTTTGACAATGAAAGTAACAGAAGTAGAAAAGTAACAAACAATTATAGCCCGCAGATATTTCCGGTACATTGGGAGCCAATGTAGTTAAGCTTTTAAACGATACTTAAATTAGTGATTACTTAAGTAAGGAAAAATAAAAGGAGTAATAATTTTACATATTGAAAACTACGCACTTTTTTAATTAGTACGACTTTTTGTTTTTTTTTTTTTTTTTCTTACGAAAATTTTAGCCGAACGCGCCTTAGATACTATGAATTTTGATTTACTTCGCAATAAACCGATACGCATCATGTGGTCGCAACGTGATCCCTCGTTACGTCGTTCAGGCATCGGAAATGTTTTCATTAAGAATTTGGACAAGACTATTGATAACAAAGCCATTTACGATACGTTTTCCGCTTTCGGTAACATTTTAAGCTGCAAAGTGGCAACTGATGATAAAGGCACCTCTAAGGGCTACGGTTTTGTACATTTTGAAACTGAAGAGGCAGCCAATAATGCGATTGAAAAAGTTAATGGTATGCTGTTAAACGGCAAAAAGGTATATGTCGGTAAATTCATACCACGTAAGGAACGTGAGAAGGACTTGGGTGAAAAAGCTAAATTATTTACCAATGTATATGTGAAAAACTTCGGTGACGATGTTGACGACGAAAAACTGAAAGAAATGTTTGACCCCTATGGCAAAATAACCAGCTACAAGGTCATGATCAAGGATGATGGTAAGAGTAAGTGCTTTGGTTTTGTTGCCTTTGAAACTACGGAGGCGGCCGAAGCTGCTGTTGAGGCGCTTAATGGTAAAGATATGGGCGACGGCAAGGCTTTGTACGTGGCTCGAGCTCAAAAGAAGGCTGAACGTCAACAAGAGTTGAAACGTAAATTTGAAGAATTGAAGAAGAAACGTCAGGAGTCTGTCTACGGCGTCAACCTTTATGTTAAGAATCTCGATGATACCATCGACGATGAACGCTTGCGCAAGGAATTTTCCTTGTTTGGCACGATCACTTCAGCTAAGGTAATGACCGACGAAGACGGCCGCTCCAAGGGTTTTGGTTTTGTATGTTTTGTAGCACCACATGAAGCCACCTGTGCTGTTACTGAAATGAATGGACGTGTCGTAGGATCGAAGCCTTTATATGTAGCATTAGCCCAACGTAAAGAGGATCGTAAAGCTCATTTAGCTTCTCAATACATGCGCCACATGGCTGGTATGCGTATGCAACAAATTGGACAAATGTTCCAGCCTAATACTCCTGGCAATTTCTTCGTTCCAACAATGGGTCCTGGTCAAAGATTTTTCGGCCCTCAGGTACCGACTGCCATGCGAAATACACCACGGTGGGCTGCACAAGTACCGCGAGCAGCAGCAGGCGTTCAAGGTGTTGCCCAGAGTGCAGCCGCTGCTACAGCCGGTGGCTTCCAAAATGCTGCCATGGCTGCAACCGGTACATCGCAATATCGTCCTCCAAACGCAGCCGCTGCTGCGGCTGCCGCAGCTGCTCGTGGCCAAGCCCCAGCTGTGCAGGGCGCTCATGCTGCAGCCGCTGCTGCTAATACTATGCGTGGCACTGGCGCTCGGGCCATTACGGGTCAACAAACCATACCAGCTGCCAATATGCCTATGGCTGGCGCACCAATGCCTGCTGCTGCTGCTGCGGCTGCCGCTGCCGCTCAGCAGCGCCCAGCCAACTATAAATACACAACTAATGTGCGTAATCCACCTGTGCAACAAGTACAGGCACCACCACCGGTTAAACAACAGCACCAGAAAGGTAAGTTTTTTCACTTTATTTCTTTGGATGGGAATTATAACCAACCGATAATTCACTTTATTACTTACAGGACCAGAAAAGCTTCTGGCTTCAATGTTGGCTAATGCCAATCCCCAAGAACAAAAACAGATTTTGGGAGAACGCTTATATCCCATCATTGAACTTGCCCATCCTAATATGGCGGGAAAAATCACTGGCATGTTGTTAGAAATAGAAAATTCTGAACTTTTACATATGATTGAAGATCAGGAAGCCTTAAAAGCCAAAGTTGAAGAAGCTGTGGCCGTTTTGCATATGCACCGCGTTACTGAGACTACAACCTAAACAAAGGAAAAACTTTAAAGAAACTAAAAAATAATAACAGATAATAATAGCAACAGCAACATCCAGCAACTAAAAGAAAAAGTTTAGTAGAAAAGAATTAAATAATAGAAACAAAACAAAACAAAACACTTGAGCTCAGCAAAAATTAATATATAACGAAGCGAAGAAAGAAAGTCAGCAAAAACAACACTCACCTATACATACATTAAAAAAATCATAAATTTTTTAGTTTTCTTTACTGACAAAATTTTTTTTCCTAACTTTTGTCTTGTTGTTTGGTTGCTTTTTTCAGTTTTTTATTTTTTTCGAATTTTTTGTGTTTTAGCTCTCGCAAACCACTCAAAAAAATGCCAAAGCTGTCGTCCAACATAATTTAAAGAAAATTTCACGCAAAGCCGCTCCTCTCGTCTTTCCCTGTGTTTTAACTCTTCAATCAAGCAACCGATCCTACTAATCAAACAAACAATTATTCGATCAGTCAAACTTAATGAGGAAAAACAAATAATTGAAATTGGAAAGTCTGTATTTTCCCATAAAGTCAAGTGGAGAGAAGTCTGTGTGTTTACCCAAAAGAGACGTTTGCGTGGCTGTATATTCGCCTACTATTCTACACAAATTTACGTTTACCCGTATTGTGATGGAAGCCTTGGATTTGTCTGTTTTGATTTGTATCCAAAACAATGTTTTTTTTTTTTTTTTCATTATTATAATATTTTCCTATAACGTAATTTTCTCCACTAAATTTTAAACATATTCTTTATTCATTTTTTCTCTAATCCCTTGAATAAAAATTAGTTTTTGTCATTTATTATTATTTCAGTTGTCTGCTTTTTGCTTTGCTGGGTTTGAGTTTCAAACGCGCACCTTAATTTTTTTTTTATTTCACATTTAATAAAATTGAAAAATTTTAAAAAAATTGCAAAAAATTATATAAAAATAGAAAAAACTTGAAAAAAAAAATACAAAGAAAAATGTTTAAATAAAAAAACCAATAATTACTAAAGAAACAAAAAATGGAAATAAGCAAAAAATTATATTTGAAGATTTGCTACTTTAAACAAGGATTTAAAGAAAATGTAAAAACTATTGTAAAAAAAAAAAAAAAAAAAAAAAAAAAACAGCAAAACCATAAAAAAAATGAATTTTCTAGTAGTATCTGTCAGGGCCTGTCAGGTATTATTAGTTAGTTGAAAAAAAAAAGTAACAAATATATAGACAAAATCAAAAAAAATTAATTAAAAAAAAAAAAAAAAAAATACAAAATAAAAAAAAATCAGTAAAAAATTTTGCAAAAATTAAAAAAAAAAAAAAATTGCCGTACCCACAATTTTAAGTGGAAATGATCGCAAACTGCTTCAAGCAAACACCACCACCACCACCTCGAGCAAGCGGTATATTTTTTTTAAAAATGTATTTTTTCTGTTAATTTTTTATACATTAATAGTTGTTGAGAAAAACAAATCCCTAAGAACATCCTAAAAAGAATACATATATATATATATATATATATATATATATAGCATATTTTGGGATTTTAATTTCCATAATTTTTCTGAACTTATTTCTCTGTTTATCATTATTTTTTATTATTCAACATTGAGTTGTTTTATTAGTATTCTTTCTCCCAGACTATTACTTACTTATTAGTTCTATAAATAAAATATTTTATCTCAATATAATGCATACTTATGTATTCATCTCTTCTTTATTATCTGAAAACTACAAAAAAGTAAATATTTTCAAATAAAAACGAAAAAAGAAAGTCGAAAGAGAAGATGGAAAGGTTTTTAATTATGGATGCAAAATGGGGCAGATTTATTATAAAAATTATTAAGCTCTATTTTCATTGCGAGTTGTTTAAGGCAGATAGATCCCATCTTCAGATGGCTAGCGTTCAGCAATCGCAACAAAAAAAAAGCAGAGAGCGTAGAGTTTGCCACACCTCAAGACCAAAAATATTTTATTTCCCGGATTGGTGGACTGTAGGGACGAGTACTTTTCAAAGGATTTGCCGTCAGATTGAAACCATAAAAAGGGGTCGCAATTTCGAGTTTATAAAGCTCCAGGAGCGCTTTCGAGCGCGCTATTATAAAGCGCACGTGCACATTGCTTAAGGTGAACTGCTGTGCAATTGGTTTTTCTACTTAACCACCCAATAAGCTAAGGATCTCGACTAATAACTCAACAAAGCCGATAGCCTCAGCTGCTACTTTAAGACTTTAATCTTTGAAAATAGAAGAAAAGAGAAGTAAATGAGCGAACTTTGAATTTTGGCAATTTAAAAGAGAAGTAAATGAGTGATCACTAGAGGGGTTTTTTGGACGCAAATCTATAGTATGAAATTGGGATATGACGACATCTTCTTAGAAAAACTTTACTAAAAGCTCGATGATGGGATTCTCGGGAATTTTATGCTGGGGAAGATCACGTTATTTGGCCCATATCATAAATACACGCCTTCAAAAATAAACAATGTGATCAATACGATTTACCACGGTAAGCATTCATCCCCCCTTGTACGTCTCCTGAATAGTTTTATACAATTTT